TTGTACCAGTACCAGGCTGTTTTGACTACTGTAGCTGTATAGCAGGTTCTGAAGTCAGGTAGTGTGAGTCCTCCAACTTTATTCTTCTTCTTCAGTAGTGCTTCACTTATTCGGGGCTTCTTCCCTTTCCATATGAAGTTAATGATTAGTTTTTCCGTCTCTTTTAAGAGTGTTGTTGGTATTTGGATCAGGATTGCGTTGTATTTGTAAATTGCTTTGGGTAGAATTGTCATTTTCACAATGATGAGTCTGCCTATCCATGAGCTTGGTATGTTTTTCCATTTATGTAGATCCCTCATAAACACTTTTATAACATGAAAAACTATTTCCATTAAAACTGTTTTTATTACCAAATATGGTACTGACAGTACCAGAACACCAAAGGCTCAAATAAACCAGTGGGTTGAATACCAGTAGCTATTGAACAAGCTGAAGAAGACAGTCAAATGAGGAGGAAAAAAAAAAAAATTAAAGTCTTTAAAGAACATTCAAAACTAGTTGCCGTCAAGGCAATGCCAAGTCATGATGACCCCATATGTCTCAGAGTAGAACTGTGCCCCATAGGGTTTTCAGGGGCTGACATTTTGGAAGTAGATCACCAGGACTTTCTTCCAAGGCACCTTGGGTGGACATGAACCTCCGTTTCAGTTAGCAGTTGAGCTCGTTACCTGTTTGCACTACTCAGGGACTCCCATTAGCATGCACGTAAACCACAGGAAAGGATGGTCCTAATCAGAAAAATAACCAACAGTGAGGGAAGACTGAGACAAAGGGGATTCCTGCCTACAGGTGTCTGAAATGCAGAGGATGCCCCCTAAAGGCGAATATTACACACACAGACCCTGAAGACTCCTCCCTTGTCTCAGTCATCTAGTGCTGCTATAACAGAAATACCCCAAGTGGGTGGCTTTAACAAACAGAAATTTATTTCCTCACAGTAAAGTAAGCTAGAAGTCCAAATTCAGGGCATCAGCTCCAGGGGAAGGCTTTCTCTCTCCGTCAGGTCTGGAGGAAGGCCCTCGTTATCAATCTTCCCCTGGATTAGGAGCTTCTCTGCACTGGAACCCCAGGTCCAAAGGACACACTCTGCTCCTGGCCCTGCTTTCTTGGTGGTATGAGGTTCCCCACTCTCTGCTTGCTTCCCTTTCCTTTTATCTCGTGTAAGATAAAAGGTGGTGCAGGCCACACTCCAGGGAAACCCCCTTTACATTGGATCAGGGATGTGATCTCAGTAAGGGCGTAACATCCCACCCTAATCCTCTTTAACATAAAAATACAATCACAAAATGGAGGACAGCCACACAATACTGGGAATCATGACCTAACCAAGTTGACAGGTATTTTGGGGGGACACAATTCAATCTATGACATCCCTGTATAACAAGTCTGGAAGGAGGAGGACATGACTGCTTGGTTAAGAAAGGGGAGGTTGTTTTAGCTATAGGGAAAACTGCAGAACAAACAGTATACGTGAGGGAGACACTCACATTGGAAAAAAAAAAAAAAGGGTGAAGAGACATTTACAAAAAGAAAACGTATTATGTAGGACTGAAAGCAGCAGGTAGGAATGAAAAATACTTTGAACTGTACACAGAAAAACGGGCAGCCACATTTTCCAGTCTAAATTCTTTCCATAAAAGTCTGAAAAAGTTTTGGGCAAGTCTACACCAAGTCTGAGTCTTAGAAAAATTCTGCCTACCGTGACACAGACAAGAGAGCACACGGGGTTATAAGGAAATCTTTCAATACAGGAGTGCCTGGAGGCAAACAATTTCCTCCACAAAGAAAAATAAAAATTAGAAAACAACAGTGGGTATCCTGTCATACTCAGTGTAATGTTTCATTTCCTCTACCAGTCGAAA